ACTATAATTTAGAATAAAAATGTATTGTGATTTATCATTTGACTAAGAGGGCGGTTTGCGTTAGGGCGAATTGCCTTTTTACCCGTATAATAAAAGTAATGTGTTTGGGCGAGACAAATTCGGTTTAGACAAATTCAAAAAAATAGAATATTGTTAAGAGAATATGGTACCAATTCCAAACTTGGTTTTTGGATTAAACATTTTTTTGGATTACCATATTTACCATCCAATGAAGTAGGCGATGATTTTATGGAACTCATGCCAATTGCTCCAAAAACTCAAAACATCATCGAATTTACAGATTATATACTTGATACATATATTTCAGAGGAGGCTATTTTCCCTCCTTATTTAAGGGCAAGAAAACCTGGAAATGATCCAAACATAACAAATGGAGCCGAATCATTCCATGCAAATTATAATTCCCAATTGTATTCATCGCATCCAAATGTATTTCAAGTAATTAATGTGTTACAACAAATTCAAGTAGAAACTAACACAAAATGCAATGCTTTAAATAAAAATATTTACAATATTCGACGAAAAGTCATATTAGAAAAACAAGAATATTTAAAAATATGCTGGGATAAGTATATATCAGGTGAAATTAAGCTCTTAGAGTATATATTATAACGTATGGGAGTAAAATTCCCAGGAAAAAAAATGTAGTAAAGAAAAAACAAATATATTTTTTCAATTTTAATTATATTTTAACTTCATTTTTAAAAAATCTAAATCATTTCAATTTTTAATTACACTCGCACACACATAAATAAACAATCCATTTTTAATCATACCCGTGGAATTCACGGACAGTCCCAAGTCTGTCAAAATGAGAGGGAAAATGGATACAGCATCCCAGGGTATTAAAAATAAATAATAAAAAAATGGTCGCCCAAACGCATTACAATGTTTAAAAATCACTCGCCCAAACGCGCATTATGCTAAATTGCCCAAACACATTGCAATTTTTAAAATTCGCCCAAACGCGTGACGCCCGACTAAGATAAGTAGCACATTTTACGATTTTAGTATATATTTTCCCGTTTAGCACACAATAATAAAAATTAAAATAAAAGAAAAATACCCTAGTATAGTTGATGTTAATTAAAGAAAAATTTAGGTACATATAGTTATCGGCTAATCGCATTCCATTTTTTCCATAATTCTAATAATTGAATGGATCAGTATAAAGTTACAATTATAATAATAATTAAATATACGAATAAATTGAATTGGGCTAACATTCGACGTTTCGAATTATTTCAAATAATACGCGTTCGTCATAACTCATAGAGTCTATAATCAATACGTTTAAGCTTTATGTACCTATAGCTTATGGAGATAATATTATGCACATAAAATATTAAGTATAAATATGTATACCAACGTTTCGTTACCTAATTACAATTATTTAAATTTAAATGCCACAAATTATTATTTTAATTGTTAATTATTCTAAGTGATTAAATTAATAGACCAAAGCGCTTAACCAGTCGCCACACTAATGATAATATTATAATAGGTATATAACATATACGAAGATAATACGTATGTTATATAATTAATAATGCAATGTAACAACTACAAGTACAAAGTTCATTATGTTTATTATTGATACGTACCTAGTAACGCGTGGTACAATATAATATGACTATATACCGTCATAGGTGATTTTAATGTTATAATATAATGATATAAAAAAAAACTAAACCGAACACTATAATAATATTGGTTTCAATGAGATAGGTTTTCCTGTAATATTACCTATGCAATAAGATAGGTCTGTTTCAAATTCTGAAGAACCTACGCCCTAATAAACTAGATACCTACATAAACATATTATATTATTCCTATACTCATAAATGTTACTAGCCCCCGATTTACCAGAAGAAACAGCAGGGATTCAATTCGGCTTACAACAGAAATAATATAGATGAAAACCGTTATGATGTAAGTAAGATGTGAATTATTGCGAATCGGACACAAAAGATTTAACGGGTTATAGAGGACATAAATCGTAAAATGTTGCTTTTAACGTCACGTCGTATTGTTTCCCCCGTGTCAAGGAAATTTTGACGATATAGAGTACTTATACTTTATATTATGTTATATTGCCAAAAAACCATAGCTGACACTTTTTTTGCTAGAATAAAATTGGGATAAATATAGTATGTAACTTTACTATACTAACTATATAGCTGTACTTCGCCTGGATTGATTACAATTAACCTATCTTTCTATCGTTTTCTGTTTTGCTTCAGTTTAAATATAATATAATATAAAAATAATAAATTATTACTATGATTAATATTGTATGATTTTGCCCTCCTTAATTTTGGTCATATTTTTTATGTACAAACCAAAAAATGGAGACAGACGACAAATTCGACGTAATTCTAATAAATTAGTATAATTCATCTCTGTATGTTTATTGCTTATACATAAACAATATGTCCAGAGTTAAGAAAGCAAATCATTTATAAATTGTAATAAACTATGTTCATAAGTACCTACTTTATTTTAATTTTTAGGTTTTTAGTATGCCTGCATATTTGTATTAATTATTTTAATAGTAATATAATATGTAACCAATGGCAACCATTGATATAAACAAAAAAATATTCGATTATTTTGAGCCCTATAGCAACCTAAAGTTTATAATAGTAGGTAGTTGAAAAAATAAGTTACAAATACCCACCGAGCCTCAAGGAATCTATTGATATAACTTTTATTGAAAATGGTCAAATTGTTTTTTAGATATACTTGTAGTAATATACAATTACAATATGCATAATAGTCTAGACACGAATCGTGATAATAATACATAATAATTCTATTATCAGTCATCCTTAAATAACGCATCTACTTTCGATCCACCGCATATAATCGACAATCCGCTATCTATCCGTTTTCTTTAGAAAAATTGTTTTGTTCACGAGAACTACGCGATTACGATTATAATATTATAACTTTGACATTTATTGTGATTGTAATACGAATTTATTTAAAAGATTATTTCATATACCTTTGGTAAATGTTGGGATTTCATTTTTTAGAGACAACAATATGATATTGTACATAACTGATTCCCACGTTGCCGATACATTTTTCTCAGATATTTTCCTCAAATATATTATGAGTTATGACGTCATATAGTTATTTAAATCAAATTGTTTTGCATTATGTACTATTAACGCACTCGCTGCAACCGCTCAAACATTGGCGTCGCCGAATTGGCAGGGTTGAAATGGCAAAATCGACATCGACAAAAAGGTCCGTTCCCTCGTGCAAGTATAAATCAATACCGTTATCGTCATGTTATTAATTCCTGTGCGGTATACCGTATGGACCTTTGGTAAATCACCTTTCATCCCGATTAAACTGGGGATATATATTATGTGTACTTAGTACATGTACAAAGTGCATCACCGCATCAATAATATAAACGATAATATTATAAAATGGGTTTTACTAAATTTAAAAAAATAAACAAATTATTATAGGTGCACTTGTGATGTTGAATATTCACGGGTAGTATATTTGTTGTATAATACACTTTCATAATTTCTGTCCGAACAAAGGGTTTGTACACGCCTATAAGACGAATATTTTAATAATATCATTGTTGTTTCAATCCCCTCTCCAAACGATACAGGTACCTATTTGGTTAATTATATTTTATTCTACGATTGTTATCCACTTAATATAATATAATGAATAATAATATAATAATTATCAATTAAAAAAATAGTAGGTTTTCAATATTACGGTCAAACGATTTCATATTCTCGCACCGAGTAATTAAAATGTTAAGAATACAAAGAACAATACCATATAATGATACATACATCCATCGACCGCCGACAGAAATGAGTACAATTGCAGGAAGCAAAACAAATTTAAAAATCATAATACGAAACAAAACCCATAACAATTATAATTATAATGATATATAATATTTGTTTTAGCGTGAGAAAAGCGATTAGGCGTGAACTCGTTTTAAAATTAAAACAAATCTTTGTGCGTGCCCGATTCATTATAATAGTATAATACACTTATCATTGTATTAACTATCAATACTTAGTATAATATGTGTACAATAAAATAATAGTATTGAAGTTTTTCCGTGTACAACGTTCAGTCGTTGACAAAATCATTTGTAATCATAAAGTTCGGATTATCTGCATCACGCGACGTCAACAGCTGATAATCCTTTGAAAAACTTTTTCGCTCAGCACATAATACCTATAATAATTTACGCACACAGATTTTTTATGTGGGTTATTACGGTTTTTTTTTGTCCAGATTCGTCTATTTTTTTCGAGTCTGTGTTTTTTCACCCGCGCCGTCTGAAGGGTGAATATTAACGGGCGCGCTTTCGACTCCCGAATTCGAAGTAACTAAACGACGTAGACGATGATAAATTATATGTACACCGATAATCGGGTTGTATATTATAAAGCTGCTATACATCGAACTCAAGCGACCGATCAATCGTTCAAAATACGTTAAGGAGATTATTATTAATTACCACTCTGTCTCTAAATATACAAGTATCTATACAATATGCCATTATTTTCACAACACCTTATTTTTGGGTGCACCACTAGCTACTCTCCGAATCGTGCATATTATGTCTATGATTTTTTAATATTAGTTTATTTTGAGTATATCGGCCCTATATTATTTAGTTTTTAGATGATCGCTTTTCGTTCAACTGTATGAAAAATGTCATGAGTCATGACACTACTATCGTGTTTAGAACGGCACAAGAAATCCGTTTACTTCAGTCCCGATGCTGACTGGCCGTACCGTAAATTATGATGTTATGCATATACTGCTGCAGTAGTAGTATTTACATAAATATGTTTTTGGGATGAATACAAGATCAATTAATGTTTCTGACCGATTTTTCGTGAGGTTTTCGTTGTCATGGTTACTTGTTGACAAAAACATAATATCTAAGATTCATATTCAAAAATATTGAGTGGCGTGCTATGGTTTTGTATGTTATGCGTCATACACGCATCGCCGCCTCTGACCTCGGACCATCCCAGCTGTTGCTTCTTTTTCTTCAGCTGACTTCGATGGCCGTTCTGACGGGCAGCGTGGACAGGCGTTACGACCACCACTTGCTGGGAACGAGCCTGGTGTGGAACAGTTCTTACGACCCACGAGCTGTCATCCACAGTCGGTTCCAGATGACCCGAGCCGGGCGCGTGTTAGTCGTGTCCCCACGCTTCCGGCCCGGGGTCCCGTTCACTTTGGGCTCGTTCCGAACAGCTGGGAGCGGGGATAAGTGTGTCGTCGAACCGGATGTGCTGGCACTGCCTTCCACGACACAAGCTCACCTGGCCGAAACTCGGATACCGTCGGCCAGCAAAGACTCGTCCCCGGCCCCTCTCGTCAACGTCATCGACCTCAGCATCGAAGACATCACTGACGTGGTGTGGCTGTTGGACGTGGGCTTGGTGGACACGATGACCGGCAGTCCAAGACGTGTTGCCCCGGCTAAGGTCGTCAGGCTGGAAATCGACGACGATCAGGACCACCGAGGACCCCCAAAGGTATATATGACCACTATACCGTTATTATGCCGTACTCGCACCACACCGTATAATGCATTTTTTCAAGTGTATAATCATTGAAATTTGTCGATTTTTTTTCGCAGTCGTCGTACAAGACGTTCGAGATCAAGACAGCGGCGGCCGATACCGCGGACGATTGCAGCGAGGCCTCGTCGTGTCTGCAGTACATCTTGACGTACCGTTCGCGGACTGGAGAACGCAACCATTACGCTTTCGTGTCGGACGCGGCCCGGAGTACGGTGCTGGTGCTCAACACGGATACGGGAGCCCAGTGGGCCATGGACTTTCCACAAAAGGCGACGGGACACGAAGCGGCGCCGCGGGACATATTGTTCATGGTGCTGCTGAGGATGGCCAACGGTCAGACATGGCTGTACACCACGTTCATGTCCGGTTGCAAAGTGTTCGCCGTCGACCTCGAGTACATCGATCGGTGTACGTTGGACGGGGCCCAGCCAGCGATCGTCGAGATAGGACACAAACCGTACCGGATCACTGTGCTCGGTACGGACACCGGCAGCCGCATGTACTTCCGGCGGCCCACCGAGAACGAGATATGGGCGTGGGACGCCAACTATGGCCCATTTCACCCTCTCGGCTTCAAACTGGTGTCCAAGGGCACAGACTGCAGAGCACCGGTGCACGTGGCCCCCGGCTACGGTGGGTTCGTTTACGTGCTCAGGAACAACTTTGCCGACTATGTGCTCAAAAGCACCGGTTCGATGGGTGCTTACAGCCTCATACACCCTGTGATCACGTTGCCCTCGTCCTGTTCGATATCCACGACTACCGCGGTGCCGTCCAAAGCCGATGTTTGCTAACTTGACCTGATATTTTCGTCGACTCCAATAACTATATAATTTTATATTTTCGCATTTCGCTTTTTTGCACAATTTGAATCGTCAATATAATCGGTCTACATTTTCTCCCATCTTTCGTTTATAATATTATATAGTATCTAGAATACACTCCAACTCGATGTCCTACAGGCAATGTAGGATATCCAGGAACGATAACTGTGGTAGGTTATTATTGTAACTGAACCGTGCTTTATAAACACCGATTTTTAAGTAAATAAGTTATATACTCCGGCCCACGAGAGATCAGTACTACTATTCGACCAAAACTCTTCCGATTTCGCGCATCTCCCACTCAACCAACAACAGCTTTTCGGCGACTGTCGGTGTCGGTCGGCAATTGCGACGATTGCGGCATTCCGGCACATAGTGGGGAAAATTGGGCTCTGCACCGTCATTCTGCTTGCGCGTGACGGTACTGATCTCTCGTGGGCCGAAGTATAGCCATTAATATTATATACATAATAATTATTATAACTTCATAATATTAATATTAATATTTACACCGTATTATGAGGCCTTACCATAATATAATAAATACAATTTCGGAATTTCATAGGTTCTTTTTTTGATAACATATTATTGTTCTAACTGTAAAAAATCTTGTTGTTAATCTAATAATTACTCTACATCATTCAATTTATAATATTTGCATAATATAATAAACTGATTTACAAGCGGTGAACAACTATTAAAATAATATCATCTCTATTATGTTGTGTTGTGTAGATCAAAGGTTCAAAGGCTTTTTTTTTATGCTTCACTTAAGCGTATTACGAATTAGTCATATACTTGCGACTAATGACTAACGTTGCCTCTTGAAATGATTTTTTACTCAAAATATTATCCCATGTGTCGCATAATATAATAGTTAATTGAAATTCAAGAACTGAAATAACTAATAATGATACTGACTGTACACACTATAAGTACACATACCTACTTAATATAAGTAGGTACTAAAACATTCAAGTCGTATTTTGCATGACAGTTCAAGTGTGTTTGGAAAAAATTAAACGAATACATTTGTATAGATATTTATGATATTTTATATCGTTTTATATTTTATAGAATAATAAAAAATGAATAATAATATATTATCATAAAAAATTTTCATTCTACTTTTGATTGTGGTAATAATTGTCATTGAAAAAAAATCTTTGGACGTGGTGTAGTGGGTCAAATTATTGGCAATCGAACAATTCGGTCACGAGCGGGAGCCCGATATTGAGTGGTTGACCATAATTTTGTTATCTATTGAGTATTTAATATTTATACCTAAGCGCCTATCAAGCAGCAAGCACTTACAATCGGTAGAAAAATGTTGTTTATAGTCACATGAATCTTTTTAAATCGATTTTAAATCGATTTTGGTATCGTTGATGACAATCGATTTTCTCTCTTACAAAAAGTTAGTAGATATATATTAATACGACAGGAAATTATGCAAAACACGATGAATATCGCAATGAAACTTGATTATAGTGCAGACGATCCGTCTGAAAAGTGCCGGGAATGTTTTTCGAGTGGTTTTAGCAATTAAAAATATAAAGGAAAAACCGTCTTATCGAAATATTTTACGCTTATTGTGGACTAAAACATTTTTAATATCGCCATAATAACACGTCTTATCCGAGATGCGTCCCACTAAATAGGTCAATCGTTTTAATTATTTTTTTCCAAGAATACCTATATATACGTATAGTGAATAACAGTGATGATATTGATTTGTTAATAACTATCACGTTCATCATGGAGATTTCATATCGTATCTCTACGGAAGATGATCAATTTATAACATATTATTAAATAATTATTAAACAAATTTTATTTTCAGAACATTCACAGACGTCATTATTTTTGCCTAATACAAAGCTGGGCAAGTAAGTAATTTTTTTCAACTAGTTGAAGTTAAGTTACTTTAATAAAAAAACTAAGTTAGAATATAAGTTAGTTCCTGAAACTGGCCAAATTTCTAATTTAGTTAGAAGTTAGTTTGGTGAAAATAGTAACTTAAGTTAGAGTGGAAGTTAGAAGTTATTTTTTTTTATAGATTAAAACCCTTTTTGTTGAAATGTAAATAATAAGTTATTTAACTTAAATTATTGATTAAAACTGAAAAATTGAATTAAACACCTAGGTAGTAATTTGATCAAAATGTTCTAATTTGGTAAGTAATAATTTCAATTAATTGGTATTAGTATATCACTTATCAGTTATTGGAAAATAAAGGGTGAAACAAAATAAAAAAAATATATAACAGTATAACAACTTAAAATATTAATTACAATTAAAGTATTCATTTTGGAATGAAAAAAAAAATAATAACTAATTAGTTTTTTTTCTAACGAGTTAGATTAGACCATTTTACACATTAGATTCAACTAGTTAAGTTACAAAGTTAGTATGAATTAAAATTAACTAGTTAACTTTAACTTTTTAACTAGTTAGTGCCCAACTTTGGCCTACTATAATATAATATTATAATATAGGTACTACAATCATTGCTTAAAGGAATCTATATAAATTGTAAATGATATTACCTTCGTTACAGTACCTATCGATTTACATATTTTCTAAAGGTGGGATTCAAAAATGCTGATATTGTGTCGAATGACTTTACATTTGAAAGCAATGATAAATCTTTGTACTCGAAAACGATTCTGAATGAATCTCAGCTTATCCAAAAGTGATTGTCACTATAATAATACACGTCTTGTCGGTCAAGATTTACCTAAATCCACAAAGCATAATATATTTTTGCAAGATTTCAAAATATATTATCTATAAACCATAAAATTACCTATCACTATAAAATAACAGTAAAATAAAAATGGAAAAAGCACAAATCACATCAAAACCACAATAAAAACCATAGTAATATTATCTTTGCTCTGAGTCTAAATCGTTCATTTGAGTAAAATAATAAACTAATACTAAAAATATTTGTCTTTCTGTGATTTTCACAGCTATATAATAATATAGGTAGATATTATATGCATAATATAGGCGCACCTACGTTTTGTTTTAACAATCCCGCAAAAACGAGTTGTTTCAACTGTTTTTGGCGTTTGTTCAAATCATATAAAACAACTAACAAGCAAAAAATCAAACAGACATGGACGTTTAGTGGCTTAACTTTATTTACCTACATAATATATATATGCCACTGGACACTATATTTTCAGCTGTTATTTAAAAAAATTTATTTAAAAAAAAATCAATAAATAACACAATTAAGGTAGTAAGTAATTACATAATATTCTTAAAACGATTAAATAAAACCCTTTATTACGTTATACCTATAGCATAGATTTTATTCTACTCACTAAGTCTTAATTTAAATATACATTTTTAAATATTTAAAAAATTAAAAGCACGTTCACAAAAAAGGAATTTATCATTATTTAGATACAATTAGTATACATTTTGTTTTCACTAAATTAATTAAAAAATTGTTTAATCAAATAAAAACCTCGTTATTTTAAGTGATATTTAAGCATAAACGTCAACGTAAATTATAACTATCCTTTTTATTGTAATCACAGATGATTTCATAAATCCAAAATTCAATTTTACAACTAGATTTATAGTTGTAATAAAATTACATAAAAAACGTATAATAACCTACCTAACAAATAGTTACATTTTAATATAATATACAAAAACGAATAGCCCACTTGGAAAAAGCAATTAGTGAATATTTGTTTAATTTTTTATTTGATTGTTGTTATCTAATGATAACTTGCCGTTTTAAATAGGTGACAGTAAATTCGAATAATATATACTATTATGTTATATACTTATATACACTAAGGTCCAATAATAACAGTGACTTTTGAACCAATAAAATTAAATATACAATATTGCATTGCTGTATTTTATATTTATATATAATTTATATTTTTGTTTTAAGCCGTATATTTTAAATTGAAACCTATAAGCTAACCTAATAATAAATTATATAAGTAGCAATAATTGTTTAATAGTTCATACATGGTTAATATAAATGAACATATATTGTAAAATATGCATAGGTATAGGTGAGTATGACATTTATATTTACCTGTAGAAATAGTCTTAAATCACATATAGCTTAAACTAATTGACTGTTAGGGACGTTTAATTGAACGATTTCAATTGTTTAATATCACTCTAGGAAGAGGCGACCTTCGAATAATTCAACAATAATTATTTTCACATTCAATTAGATTATTTTTTTTTCGTCATAGAATGATTTAATGTGAATTATTTATACATGTTATTTTTTTCTGATTCATCACTCCTAGAGCGTCACCCAACAATATATCTAACTTATAAAATGTTCATCTCAAATACATAGGTAATATTATATTATGTAACATAAGTTTCTTCCGTTTACCTACAGTAAATTATAATAATATTATACCACTTGAAATTATTTGATTTTCATTTACACCTTGAGTTTGCAATATATTTCTATTATAATCTAGTGAATCATTTAATTTGTTTGTATTATTGTTTTTATTTTGTCATTATAACTAATAAAAAAATATGTATATAAACTTATATGTGTCAAATTAGTTGTGTATAGTTGTGACTATATCACGAAGACACGAACATAACGAAACTGTCATGTATAATATTATTATTTTTTTTAAAACGTATGTTTTATTGGTAAATTTTTGGTATATCACCTACTTTTATCACTGATATTTCTAATACTATATGTAAGTATTAATTTACCTACATTAAACTGTAATATATTGATTATAATTACCTATAGAATTTATTATTTACTTCTTTTATATGTGGAAAACTGGAAAACCTATGTCAGCCTATCAGGATCAATATTATTTAATATTTCTTCCTTATAATTCCCACTTTAATATATATATATATATATATATAAGTACTTATATGATGTTTGTGTCAATAAGTTAATAAGTACTTTAAACTAATGGATAATGACATTTATTCCATTT